AAGAAAGTCACATCACTATAGTACATGTGGACAGCCTATATGGACAATGAGGTGTCATGGAAACCTAGTATAATGGGTAAATTTAAATCAAAAGGTTACCCAATGCTATAATGGGTAAATTTTTCAAAGTACAATGTCTTAATAAAAAATAGTTTGAAAGTACATTGCTGTAATAAGAAAAACTGAAAGTATAATGCTATAATAAAAAAATTTATGAAAGTAGATTGCTATTTTGTGCATTTTACCCTAAATATAAAATTGGGTTTAATTCAAATTACTAGAATTTAGAAATTGGGCTTATTCAATATATTAATTTGTTTTCAAGTTTCAGTTGCACCGCTATAAGTTTCTAAAATAATACGGTAGCGTCTTCTAAATCGATCCGATAACACCTTTTACGAATCTATTTTTTTTTACCTTTCAACACTACAGGTTCGTCCCTGTGAAGAATGGTGGTTTTTTACCCCACCAAAATCCATGAATACAATTCTTTCATCTGAGTTTAAAGACGACGATGTCCTTCCAAACTTCTCTTCCTCAAATGTTGATGAACTTGAAGCCCAAAACCAGGTTTGTCAATATAGACAAGATCATGAAAGAACTCTTTAGATTTGTAGGATTTTGAAGTTGAAATCTAAACTTGTTTAGGGTTTGAAGTTGAAATCCGAATCTAAGTGTTTGTATAAATTTGTTTGGGGTTCTGACTTTCTGATTTTAGAGATTTGATTTAGGGTTTTAATTTTTTGATTTTAGAGATTTAGTTAGGGGTTTGATTTTTTGATGCATCACAAATATCATGATGGTGGTGGGTGGTGAGTTGGCAGAAGATGATGGCGGTGGTGGATGGTTGACAGTGATGGGTATGAATGTTCAAAAGTGATTGTTGAAAAAAAAGATAGGAGGAAGAAGAATGGTAAAAGAAAAAAAAAAAGACGACGACTTAACAGATCCAACTCTTAACGGCGTCAATGAGAGGGACTAATTTACGCTTCGAAACACGATTTTTGAACCACCAATGTACTTTATGATTTCGAGGGTCGAGAAGGCACTCACGAGGGACCTAATGTGTAATTCACTCTTTCTAAAATAGCATATATCATTGGCTCAAGTCCCTCGATCCAACGACAATAGGATACATCATTGGCTCAAGTCCCTCGATCCAACGACAATAGGGATCTTTGTAGCTTTTCAAGACCCCAATAAGATTAATCGAGGTATGCAACTAGCCTTATAGCTCGAATGTTAAAAACGAATAAATTAACCATTGGTCTTTCACAATATAAGAATAAGATGCAATTGAGGTTTTCACAAATGAATGCCTAAACTAAATTGGAATTACTCCTCCCCCAATGCAAAGTGCCCAGCATTTCTACCCTGCAACCACAAATCACACCAACTTGTAAGAATTTTAAACTAAAAATACAATAAAGTTGGGTCTAATTCCTAATAATATTGTTACATTAAACCAAACTTTGTTGTATTTTTTTGATGCATTTTGCCCAAAAAGCAAATACGGACCTGGGAGAGCATCCTCTGCTTGTTCAGAAACTGTGTCCTTGCCTTGTTCAGCATCGAGTTCGGAGACCTGTACATCCTCTGTAACCCCAAAAGCCAAAACGAATCTCATTGAGAGGAAAACAAAATCGAGAAACGAAAAAAAAAGACCATTTAGATCACATTCCATCAGCAATTTTTTCCTTTGAGGTCATTTTATATTATAATCTAGCTTTTCAGTTAGAAACGTAACTAGTTTATTGGCTAATTTGCATAATATAACCTTAATGCATATTCATGTCGATATGTAATGTTTATATTATATAATGCTAGACGTTTAAGTGAAAAGATGCTTGCAGTTTGAGGTGTATAACGGATTCAACAAACCTTGTCGGTCGCTGATCCCCGAACCCCACCCGATAGAAGCTTTTTCTTTGGTGTGAAGTCAAATACCTCATGAAGAAATTCATTTTCCTGCTCGAATAAGAAAATCAATCATTAAATAACGAACCAAATACCTCTAAACATAACCAACAAACTTCTGTAATAATAACAATCAAACCTGCATGTGCGTCACAAATCCTCCACCGAGAAAACGCTTCAAGAAGTTCAACTGCCAAAACCCGAAAAGACCCGATAGTAAGAACAAAATCAGGATGCCAAAAAATGTCATAAAACGAGCAGTAAACCAAACCTGAATTAGTTGGGACCAATTTGTAGTAGTAAGCGACTCTCCACCGATCTTTACCGTGGTTTCTGGCGTGTCACCGTCCTAGTTAAAATAAAATTAAAAGAAGACCATTATCAACATTGTTCTACACACATACGGGTTGTTTCAAAGAACGGTTAGAGGAATACCTCAAGAAATTCCAGAATATCTCGAAAAGTGTTACGTTGGTGGTTGAGACCTTTTTTGGCAGAACCTTTCCCACCCGCCTCGGCAGAAAGGCCCCGAACTTGGTTCAAGACTTTTGATCTCAAACCCTGTATATGTGTACCATCCAAGGAAATAATGCCACCGTTAACGGAGCTATGACAAAACTTTTCCAAGTTTCCGATCTCATATACCAGAGCAAGTGCTTCACCGGCTGCAATACGGACCGATCTATCATCTTTTTCTAGAAGAGTCGAAAAGTAGGAAAACGACCTGCACAATTTCATTGAAAGGGTAGCCTGAACAAGCTAGAATAACGCAAAGACTATTGTTCCACGAACTAGCTCATAAGCTATCTGTTAGCCAAAAAGCTATATGTTTGCTGAAAAGCTAGTTGTTGTTTGCTGAAAAGCTAGTTGTTAGCCGAAAAGTAAGTTGTTGGCTAATTAATATGCTAGATGATGGCCGAGAAAACTAGCTGTTGCCAATAAATTAGCTAATAAATTAAACTAGAGGGAGATGACAAGATTTACTTACTCTTGCCAACTTTTAGCATCAAGTGTCCGCCCATCCACCGTAGTAAGAAGAAACGACCATGCTGATACAACCGCAGTTATTATTCCTGGTGATGGCTTAGTGGCAACGACCTAAAACTTATACGGCTTCAGAAGGCATCAAGACTCAACAAACAATGGATTGATCAACCCAATACATAAATTACAATGCAAAATGAAAAAGAAAGGACACATACATTGGCACCAAGTTTCGGATGAACTACTTGCCACATAATTTGCATACATTTCTCCGATTCTTCAGGCTCGTTTCCACCAACAAACGCGATCACAGCCAACCCCTCCAATAACTACGAATCGTAGTTGCCAAAAACGACAATAAATAATGATCAGATTGCAACTGGTAAACACAAATCACAATGAAATAAAAACTAGTAAACCTATTCATACCGATGACATCTTTGATACTTCAGAACAAGATTTCAGAGCCTCCGAGATAGGAAAAATGGATTCTTCCAAGATTTCTTTTGCTTTTTCACCCGAGCCAGCAGTTAGAGCCAATAATCCTATCAGAACAGACACAACACTGTTCAGAGCTCTCGTTCAGTTTAACCAATTATCAGTTAATATGAAAGTGAAGAATAAGTTATACCAATGGCATGAGCTGCTAAAGCTATCTCTTTTGCAGACCCCCGTTTTATAGAGTTCAAACATTGATGCAGCAATGTTGCAAATCTATGGAGAGAGAACAAACAACGTTAAAAATCCAAGATTGTTACCAACAAGATCTAATAAAGCCACCAAAGTTGTATCCGGGCTACTAGTAGATTTCAACCTACTTGAAGGTCAAGGGTTCAAGATTCACCAAATGTGAAAGAATGTATGTGAGTTTTGTCGTGTATTAATATTATATACATCCAAAGAAAAACACTCTAATCAAGAAAGATCCAAATACGTCCATCATTTCATGTCGGAAACTTTTACTTAAACCCTATATCAAAAAACAAACCACAAGGGTGGTGCCTGATTGGTTTGAGCGGTTTGAGCTTGACTCCAAAGGTCAAAAGTACCTGGAGGTCCCAGGTTCAAATCCAAGGAGGAATAAAAATCCCCTTGTGGCCACGGAGGTTCAAATACGGTGACTCCGGACTATCTGCAAAGCAGGTGGTCGCCCTGGGATTAGTCGGCTCGCATAGCGGGTTGGATATCCAGGTTAATAAAAACACAGAAAAGGATAATTATATGGTGAATAGACAAGTATCGTTAAAGCTCCTTTACTCACTATTCCAAATTGCGTGGTCTGTTATATGTTAGAAGTCGCTGAAACAGATAAAAAGACTTAAAAACTTGTAATAGCAAAAGATAAAGCTATAAAACCGAAGTGAATCTCAAAAATTGCATTAAGAAAAGCATGACCCATCTATAATTAAAGCGGAACTGAAGATTTGAAAACATTTCCTTACTTTTTTTCGACAAACTCGTGGGGTAAGCTGCTATTGAAAGTCTCTATAATATCTGCCAAAGCCTTCTCCCTTGTTGACCCCCTTTGAGCACAGAAAGATAACAATAAAATTCACATATGAATGTAGATATTGAATTATTGCATACTCCAATTTTCTCTCCATCATATTTCCATAAACAACCTAGCACATCTAAAAGCCTTCGGTATAGTAAAGTTGCATTAAGGGGTTGTTTGTTTAGTTTTCCATTAAGGGCTATTTTGTTAGCAACTTAATGAGACTCACAACTTATTCATACAAGACTGTTTGGTAGTGGATTAATGATACAGAAAGTTGCTTATTCAATAAGCTTCTAAGAGGAGCTTTATGCATAAAGTCAATTTTTTTCCAAACTTGTCCCTCCGAATTAAAAACAAGTTTCTTCCATCTATAAAAAGAACTTTCTCAAACAAAAAACTTTCTCAATCTGTACAGACCAATTAATCCACACAGACAACTTTATCCATAGAGCACTTAAAGGAAAACCAACCAAACAGGCCCTTTAAGTCCTGTGTAGATAAAGCCGTGTTTGTGGATAGACTTGGAAGGTTTTGCTTTAGAAGGATTTTTTTCATAGATGAAAGTAGCATGCTTTTTAATTGAGAGGAGCAGGTTTGGAAAAAATTTGCTTAATGAATAAGCTACTTTCTATATTGTTAAACCATTACTAAACAGTCATCTATTCCATCAAGATTGCTAACAAACGGACCCTAAATATCATATTGAATCTTAAGACAAAGGATGCTTGATTCTGAAAACTCAAATCATTAAACAAGTATATAAGCGAATTTATAGAACAATTACCTTTTCTCATACAAAGCATCTAAACTTTGATCCAACACACTTTCTTTATCGAGCTGTACTTCCTCTACGGCAGAACCCATTACATAATCAGATCGGACGGTTGAAGATGAACTCACACTATCGGTGTCATCACTATCCAGTATTGCAGCATTCTTGCGTTGAGAACTGCCTGCAAATCCCATCAAACCCAACACCAAAAATCTCAATTTTCCATTGAATATTCGATTAATTCAATGCTATACAAAAAACCTAAAATACACCCATTTAAAATATTTGATAGTTGCATAAGATTAAATAGTTTTTGACGAAGAAAAAAATCATAAGCTCAAACATATTCTCCGTTGACCACTAAGAACTTGTGGTCAAATTGGGGATTCAAATTAATCGAACAAACAACCAAGATTGGATTAAACGCGAAAGCCTGGAATCAATTGAACCCAAGAAACCAAAACCAGAAACAAGTTGATCAAAAGATTAAGAGGGAATGCTTACGTTGTTTACCCATTGGTGAGAGCTCCTGATTGAAATCGTTCGTTATAAGGAAATACAAGGTTGTTGATTATGAAGAAGAAAGCGTAAGTTACTACAAGGAATGAGAGAAGCAATTAGAACGAAGTGAATAGGTGTTGAATAGAAGCTACCCATTAAAATGATTTGAATTCGAAAGGAGAAAAGATATGAATTGAGGGGAGATTGTTTTGCTTGTCGACTCCAAGAAGTAATATTGAAGTTGAGTGGTGCGGAATATTCGAATGGCGTGTGGGAAAGAAGAGGACCTAAATGTCACGGAATGATACGGGAAGATCCTGGCCGTTGATTTGGTGATCGTTTGAGATTAGGAGCAGGTCGGCATATTTGAAAGATGCCCTACGCGGTAGTTTAGAGGAAATTCAGCCGCAATAACAATTAGCCAACCTAATCCAACAAGTTTTCATTTGAAATTACAAATTTCTATCATATAAGAATTAATAGAATGGTATTCACGTAATATAATAAATATATCTTAATTTTAATGTTTCATTTTATTTTGTCTTTGTCGATGTTATAATACGATTTTATATGGTACCAAAAAATGATAATATTTTTATTTAGTTTTTGAATAAAATATAAATTTAAATGTATCATAAAATTTTGAAATCAAATTAAATCTATACTATTTTATAAAACATTTGGCTAAAACTCTTAAACCCGTTCATCCCTGAACGATTTCATCCCTATCCGATTTCATC